GCTGGGTGAACAGATATATAACACAATGACTACACCCTTCTACCATTTACTCCGAAACTTTCCGCTTCACTTCTTTTTCCTTACATCTCCTCTTATTTCTAACTCACACGATAACCTTTCCCCTTCTACCACTTTATCACCTCACCAACTTGCTCGCCTTGCTTTCCTCTTTCATTTTACTTCTACTTTTACCAATGACTTGCATTGTCACTGGTATTTAACCCACCTTTCCCTTTCCAAGGACGTTTTATTTCTCCGATTCGCTGGGATAGAGACGATGGTCTGATATATGGACATATATGTCGAGGTGGGTAGTATGTTTGATCGCTGGCGTTCCATTCACACAAGACGCATTGAAACCGTTGTAAATTTTCTTCTGGTGTGGTCAACAGCTTTCCGCTAACCATCGCCATCACACATACAATCACATATCAACAAGTAAGCAGGAAATTCCATGAAGACTGTGCTACCCATATGTTGTGCTATCCTATCAAAAACATACAAAAGAAAGAAAGAAAGATAAAGCAGCATCGCAGCCGTTCATCAGCACACGAGCGTATATACAACACATAATATCCCTAGTAATATTGTGATACGAAACCAGCCCAGTATACAAAAGAAAAACGTTCTTGATCACTTTCTTTCCCTCTGAGATATACCATCATAGCGCCAACAGCTCAAGTTCAGTCCTCCTCTTCCTCTTCGCTTCTGGGGGCTCTTCTGTTGTAGTACGGGCGCGTTTGTTAGTAGATGCAGTCGGCCCCTGCTCGACCTGCACCTCTTGTTTCCTTCCACGAGTTGAGTCCTGGTTTGCAGATGTGCTTGTCGTGCCTGGATGAGTGCGTCTGCTGGTAGAAGCTTCAGGCTCCTGCTTGATCTGCACCTCTTGATCCCTTCTGCGTGCCGTGTCCTGATTTGTCGAAGTCGGATGAGGTCGCTTGTTGGTGGATGGCGCGGGCTCCTGCTTGGGTTCCAGTTCTTGGTCCCTCCCACGTGCTGCGTCCTTGGTCGCACGGTTGCTTGAGGGACCTGTATGAGAAGCTGTTGGGTTGGGTTGGGTCGAGCTTGATGCGCCGTTTAATGAGCGTGAGGTCTGCAGAGACGATTCCGGGTTTGGTATGGGGTTCACACTGGACTTGGTCTTTGAGCTTGTTGCTTCGGCATTGCGTCCAGTGGTAGACGCATCCTGGCGTCTGTCGGAAGTAACGGGTTACATAGACTGCAAGGCTCGAGGATTTGACCGCTCGGTACCGAGGGTGACGTTGAATTTCTGCTGAAGATCAATTCCACGGGCAGAGAATCTGCGATTGAGATCTCGCAGAAGTCCCTGCCTCGTAGCTAGCAGATCGACTGAATTTGGTCCGTTCACCAAGTCTTGCAAGAGCGGTGCTAAGGTGTCATTGATCTTCGCGTATTCCAACCATATGGTCTTGCCAGGACCCGTGGTGTATACACAGAAGTCGTTTCAGTTCGTAAAGGTTGTTAGTGCTCTACCGGTACGACGAAAATCAACAAAATCGACGATGTTTATGTATGGGCTTGCCTTGAGTGCCCGGAGACCATCAATCGTCTCACCTTTGACCCTGTGCGTTTTATGACACATCTTCCGGTACAGTCGAAGAGTCTGAGCATCGCTCAATATTATTCCCTCCTCTTCATCTTCTTGATCGACTGGAACGCCCTCAGGGAGCAGGTGCTGAATAAGTGAAGTGCGGATGGCATCGACTTTTGGTTTGCCTTGGTTCTCCTTCGAGAGGCCCTGGGAATTCATATAACGGTCCAATTCAGCGAGGAATGAGGCAGTCGCGTTTGGCTTGAAGTTTTCCAGCTGCTTGAAAGCCGCACGGAATATGCGAATATTGGGCCTTCGGATTCCCTGCGCTTCCATATATCGAATTGCGGCTTCTCGGTCATTAAATCTCCGGTGCCTCACCCCGCTCAACTTGTGAGTCTGTTCGTGTGCACCCCCAAGACTTCCCAGCTATCGTATATGCCAATGGTCCACCCTCTTGCCACAGCATAGTAATTCGCTAGGCTCTTTTGGCCTTGGTTCTCGTCTAGTCTTTCGCCGTCTCGAGGAAGGTATCTCTCAACGGAAGGGTCCGGTTGCGTAGTCGCAGTTGTGTTTCGAGAGCCTAGCACGTGGAATGGAATATCCCGATCTTTTACCGCCTGTTTGATCCACGCCTCAGCCTCAGCGCGTGTAAAGAAGCCTCTATGGTCGGCATTTCTGTCGCCCTTTCACTGGCAAAGTGGCTGAGCAAGATCCCAACCTCCTTTGTGAACTCCAAATCTCCAGTCTAGGTCGCGGATGGCGAAGTATTCCTTGCCCATCGTGAGTAAGAGGCCCTCGTCAACCAATCAACCGATGTTAGCACCACACCACGTTTACAAACCGACGCGTCTTAAGTACTTCCGGCACATACGCAATACCCTCGTGAATAAATTTTCAAACTTCAACTTCAAATTGCATTTCAACCCCCTCTTATAAACCAATTTCTCGCAAAAAAAAAGCTGTAAAACCAAGGAACGAGTTTGTAAAAATGGTACTAACGATACAAGTGGAGAAAGAAGGTGGGGTTCTTATGTTGATAAGAACGCGCCGCGTACCGAGTTTTCGAGTTCAGTGAGGGGGGACATGGAAATTTACCGTGACTAACTTGATTTGGGTTAGGGTTTATGGGATGACACAAGTACGATGGCATAATATCGCTGTAGTACGATACGTACCGGTACACTGAGCAAGGGGGAGCCTTTGCTTTTGGCGTGGTATTTTGGTATGTTGTAAGTGAGCTGCCACATTGAGGTGTACAGTGGTGTCTTTGAATTGTATGTGATTGTAACCCCTCACCTTTAGATCATGACCCGGGTCACATCCGCTCACCGGTTGTCATCATAAAGTATGATAGCGTATACCACGGTCCTAAATAAAGAATTATGGCTCATAATTATTGTACATGGCTGCGCTCAACGCGCTGTGAACATAAGATCTAGCGGACGCGTTTCGCAGGACGCCCCATAGGGGGAGATTCCGAACGCCTCCGTTTGCAGGGGGGCTGCGGTTCCCATCGTGAAGTATCCTGACTCGGTGGCAGCCATCTCTGTGATGACATAGGCATGTTTTGGTTATCTGATATTGGTTGTTGTTGTGATAAGATTTCTTCCACTTGGGTCAAAAATTCTTCGTCATCTGTACTGCCATAATCATCATCTGACCCGCCCAATACCTTTCTTGACTTTCACCTGGGGTTGTGTGTGCTGTTTGGAGGGCTGAAAGGTAGCATTTCCGTTGTCTAATGGGCCTCTCTGTGTAGCCGGCATAGAGGGTACTTGGGAGAGCTCGTATTCAATGTCGGCATCGTCCTCTAACGTATCAAAATATATGGCGCAGTCGGCTTCCGGGGACAGAGGTGCTTCTTCCTTGATGAAAGCTGCGGATGAGTTGATATCAGAGGCCGATGAAGGCTGCGTTGAGGCAGCTGGAATTGGAGTGGAGGACCGGGATGATTTAGCGCTTTGGTGACAAGGGGAGCTAGAGCGAGAACGTTCTGATATCAGACTCATGTTATCAGGTAAGTTGTATTTTGAGCTGGTCAGGGCTGGTGTGCTGGTCGGAATGGGTTCTGCTCTGTGTTGATCTCTGTGTTGATTTCTTTCGTGAGGTCTGTATTGGTCTCCAGCTGGAGGTCTACATTGGTCATTGCCTTGAGGTACGTAGTGGTCACCTCGGTAAGGTCCGTCCTGGTCCCTGACTGGAGGTCTGGCTGGGAGTCCGACTGGAGGTCCCATTGAAGCGCTGACTGGAGCTCCGACTTGATCTCGTCTTCGGCGCCGGGGCCCCTGGCGTAGATTCTGTAGAAATACCGCCAAAAACTCATTCTTCCGGGCGTCTTTCGAAGGGATTGTGCGTTCTTCCATTATGTAGCTGACAAAGTCATTCCAATCGTGAAAGGTTCTCAATTGCGTGCCAGTGCGACAGGCATCAATAAAATCCCAAAGATTGACATAGGGTGCTTTGTCCTTCAGCTTGTGCGCACATTCTTGTATTGTGCTGTGTGGTGTCTTGCCAGATATTCGACACAACTCTCGATAGATCTGCAGTTTCTGATGCTCGTAAAGACATCTTATAGCATCGTTCTTCTCATCGTATTGGTTGAGCTGTAGTCCCTCGGGGAGATAGTGGTATACAATCTCATCGTACATTGCAGTGACCAATGTGGAATCTCGCGCTCTTCTCCCTAATATGCTCTGGGAAGAGGCAAACACCTCGAATTCCTGCTTTAAGGGCTGGGGGTGAATGTTTCCGCCGCCCGGAAGGCGCTTTTCCGGATCCGAGGATCAGAATGGCCATGTTGGCGCATATGAATTTCTGCCGATTTAAGATCACGGGACTCTTGAACGCTGCCCATCTGCTCAATTGCAGCCTCCCGGCTGGTGTATATAGAGGGCCTCCTGCCTTTGTCAGCAGCATAGTATATGGGAGCCATGACCGGGATGGTACAAGGAAAGCGACACTGCTGTTGTGGGCTATGCCGTTCGGGTGAGCCCCAAGACGGTATACGGAGAGCAAAACCGCCGTCGCGGAGTAAGCGATTTCGGATGAGATAAGTATCGACACCTCAGGACGACTGAATATGTAGTCGATTTAAAGTGTAGCAGACAGCTCGGTGGCCACAGTTGCTTCAGCACTGCACCAGGTTGCAGCAGTCTGACGGCGAGGATGGGATGAAAAGAAGCACTCCGAACGTCGTACTCTCAGTGCTTCGGTGGCAAGCGCGCGGGAAATTTTCTTATCACCCTAGGGTATCTGGACATTTGTATACACGATGGAATGAATGGAATGGAGGGGGTTGAACAAGACATATCGACGCGGTGCGCGAAATTGGAAAAGAAATATCCCCCTGACTCGTACGCGAACGCGTCGAGTTTGGAGCCATCAATCGGTACTGCTGTCTTTTGGGTGTCAATGAGAAACTTCAAACTTTACCGTCGCGCAGGGGAGACGAATCGAAGACAAGAACAATTTTCTGGAATCACATCACTCAAAGAGCAGGTGATAAGCATCCTTCCACTCCATACAACCACACCATTAGCGCGCCAAGCCTCCCAAGCCGAGGTTGCTATCACCAGCATACCGAACAACCTCATCGCGCCCATCACTACAACATGCAAACAAACTCACCATCAGTCTAAACCAACCCACAATGGCCACCTCAAAGGCCCCCGCGCCCTTCACTTACCCGTTCGCAACCTCCCCCGACATAATCCGCTCCCACCAAAAAGATGCCTACTTCTCCTCGCTCCTAACCACACACCTCTCCACGCTCCTACGAAAAGCCCGCGGCGCACGCGTCGCCCACACCTACAACACCGAAACACGCGTCGTGGGCGACCTCCTCTATCTGGCCCTCACCACACTCCTCGGCAACCGCACCTTGGGCGAGGAATACACAGACATCGTACAGGTCGAAGCAGAAACTGGGCGATTACCCGCATTGGGCCGACGAGCGGGGTATATATTGAGTTTCATCGTTGTGCCATATTTGCTCGGGAGGGGACTACCGGTGTTTAGGCGGAGAGTGAGGGGGAAGTTGGAGAGGGGTGTTGGTGCGTATGAGAGGGATTTGGGACGGAAGGAACAAGCGGCAAGAGAGGCGGGCAAGGCGGGACCGGTGAGAAGGCCATTGGGAATGCGGTTGCAGAGTTATCTGTTGAAGAATCTGGATACGATTACATCGCCAGCGCCCATTTATGCCGTTTCACTGGCGACGTTCTACTTCTCGGGGAGTTACTATCACCTTTCGAAACGGCTGTGGGGGCTACGGTATATGTTTACGCGACAGGTGCCTGAGGGGGATAATAGAGCTGGGTACGAGGTACTTGGTGTATTGTTGGTGTTGCAAATGGGTGTACAGGCATATTTGCATTTGCACAATACGGTTACTTCGACGCCCGGAGCGGTTCCTCAGGGCACGTCGGCGGTGGTGGGCGGCGGAGCGGAAGTTTCTCTCGACCCAAACGCTTATACGGCGAATAATGCGTTGCTGTTTGAGGCGGCGGCCAGCGCGCCGCAGGCTAGTGCGTCGGCGCTGCAGCAGTGGACACATACGCCTACCATGGCTAAGGCGCGGTACGGGCTGGACGACGAGGATACCATGGGGTGGATTGGAGGGGCGAATAGGAAGTGTACGCTTTGTTTGGAGGAGATGAAAGATCCGAGTGTTACGACTTGTGGGCATGTGTTTTGTTGGACGTGTATTGGGGATTGGGCGAGGGAGAAACCGGAGTGTCCGCTTTGTAGGCAGGCGTGTTTAGTGCAGCATGTTCTGCCGTTGAGGGGGTGAGTAGATGAGGGATATATCATGTAGATTGATGACTTCTATTAGATTATAATCTTACAATATCTTCTCTGCTTCGTCTATGAGTCGGTCTACTTGGAATCCGCTGTCTCCTCGAGTGAACATGTCGAGCAACTCGCTCCTGCCCTTGCCTTCAGCTGTCTGTACGTAGAACTTTTGCATGCACATGACGAGCCATCTTGCTTCATCTAAGCTGACACCCCTGTTCTCGATGACTAGACCTTGTCCCAGGACGAGGTTATGGCTCTCAGTCAACTCCTGGTGGAATGTGATGGTGGTATGTGGGCTAGCGAATTCGCCCCTCAGCTTGAACTCTGCCAATGTGGTGAACATGAGCGTTGTCGTATCCACATGCGGGTGTGAGAATTGCAAGTAGTGTAACTCAGCGGCTTGCTGTGTCTGCGCTTGTCCATCTGCTGAGGGGCTATCGACGGGGATCTGGCGGGGTACGGGAAGAACGAATGATGGGTGTTGCTTTGCGCTGCGGAGGAGCTGGGAGAAGGTGTTTGCTGGGACGGCGAAGTGAATGCTTTGCGGGTTTCCGGCATGTCGGAGTCGCCAGAGGGCTTGGACTTCCTTCTCTGGAAGCGTCCGGACTTTGTCGAGATCGAGGAAGGAGTTTAGTGTCTTGACACCGGGTGGCGGGGCACTGGGAGAGCCTGAGCCAGGTGGGGGAGGCGGTGATGGCCATGGACTCTTTGGTGCGGACGAATTGGTTGTCTTGGAGTCGGATGGGGAGTTGGTTTGCTGTGGCGAGGCGCTGGTTTGCTGTGGTGAGAGTGGTGGTGTCAATGGCCCTGTTGCGCCCGGCACAATGGCTTGCTTCCTCAACTCCTCAATCTTGTCCTTGTACTGCTCCCTCAGCTCATTAAGATCCCTCAGACCCTTTTCCTTGGCTTTCGACTCGAGCTTTTCCCGATACTTGGCGAGGATGCGCTCTTGAGAGTCGTGGGTGACGAGGAAGCGGCGAACATCTTGAACCTGAGCCCAGCGGCGTTGAGTTGCGCGTGGGTTGACGAGGGGCTGGCGCAGGGCATGGCGCAGTGTGGGCAGCTGTAGCGGCATCGTGGGCGCACGTGCTCGTCGTGTAAATATATTTGGTTTTTTGTATTTTTATATTTTTGCGCCTCGGTCACGGGCGCATCGAGTATCGGAAACACCTGCGCACGTCTCGCGGCGGAAAGACGGGGGTTCTGATTGGGCAGATTCAAGTGCAGGCCTTTGGGCGTCTCGTGTTTCACCGGCCTGGCGTTCCTGCGTGAGGGTCCCCGGCGCCGTTCCCGCTGTCAGTAGCGTGCGTAGCCCTAGGCCAAAGCATCCATTCCCGCCGCCCTCGTGTCATCGACACCGCCCACGCAGACGTCTGTTCATAGCGCTAGCCCCCCATATCAATCCGCCCGCCCTCTGATAAAGGCTAGAGAAGGAGAGAGGAGCAAGAGAAGCACGGGAAAAGAGATAGAGAGGTAGAGGCTGAGAAGACAGTAGAGAGAGAGGGGGAGAGAGGCATGCTCCCGCCCAGTATCACCACCAGCTACTCGCGGGCATGGGCGCTGTCAACAGCAAGGCGGGCGATGCAGGCGCACTCTACCTGCGCGACCAGACGAGATGTAGGCGACCGCGACCGCGACCATGTCTTGTACTGTCCTCCTACTAACCAGCCACAGTCTCGGTGGCTTCGGTCAACATCACAAATGCGCGCAACCGTACGCTGCTGAATATTACCCCAAACGCCTTTCCTGCGACGCGATATGGCGCGAAGAGGGACTTTGGCGACGAGAGTGTTATCGAGTACATCCAGGTGCGGCTCCATACCCATCCCTCACGCCCCCTCCTCTGTCTAACCCCTCTCACAGGACCCTGAGCCTGCGGCGTCTAGCGATGGGACACCCTCCTTCCTCATACGCCTGCCCAACGACGAGGAGCTCAGCTTCAACTTCACATTCATACTCCGCCAGCATCTAGCCGTCCCCAGTATATACAACGTCAACAGCAACTCGGCCATTGCGCCGTCGGGCCTGGTAGACACAAACATCAACGGCTTGACCTTTCTCTTTGCTTCGAGCTCCAGGGATCTTGAGAATCTGGTCACGCGCGAATTCCACGCAAATCCCAACCTCCACAAAAATCCCCAGGTTGAGCTTGTCGGCGACTATTCCACCGGCGGCCACTCTTCAGTGCAGTTCCAGTGGTCGTGGAAATGGACGCCGCCAAAGACACCAGAGTCGCGCGGCGGGGGGTGGCGCACGAGTTGTAGCGTGTGTATACCACATTCTTTTTGCGCATGCGCTTGCTGACAGCATGTAGTTTGTAGAGTACGACCAGCGCGCGCATAGGCTAGAGACGCTGGCGAGCTTCACCTTTTGGGTTCAGAGTGCGTATCAATCTCCATGCCGTCTACAGGCCCACTGACGATTCCAGACACACGCCAACTACAGAGCCCGAAATCTCCATCACCGCGATTAGAACTCGGCATCCCTCCCCGCCTGCGCGTCCCCTCAGCACAGTCGATAGAGTCACGGGTTAGCGACTCAGCAGGCGAAGAACGAGAGTGGGACAGCGGACCCCCGAGATCACCAGTTTGCGAGTCTATCCCAGAGCACACCCTGCCCCTGGTACCAATCCACACGACGTCAACAACAAGTACGGGTGCACCTGTGAAGCTCGATGTTTCGCGTCCGACCGAGGACCTTAGCCAGACGGACGATGGCCCGCTATTCCGTGCCACCATGAAGTCGCTAGAACAGAAGACAGGCAACATGCGCACAAGATGGAAAAAGGTTCTCAAGCGCGCAGAGTCGGCCATGGAGGCACAGGTAGCGTGCAACAACGCCATGTCAGACCTCATGGATGCGCTGAGAGAAGCTTCGTCGTCCAACGCAAACGCCGTGCAGCCTGCCATCGACCATTACTTTGACAAGATCGCCAAGGAGATTTTGGGCTACGAAAAGTCTAACACGACTAATATCCAGAAGCTCATCATCGACCCTATATATAAGCTCTACAACATTGATATCAAACAGGCCGAGACCAAGCGCAAGGACTTTGAGGAGGAGAGCAAGGACTACTACCAGTACTTGGGTCGCTATCTTGGCCAGCGCCAGGACTCACTCAAGGAAAAGAAGCGCGCAGAGACCGATTCAAAGTACCAGGCAAAGAGGCGCAATTTTGAACTGAAGCGCTTCGACTACTCTTCATTTATGCAAGATTTGCATGGCGGGCGGAAAGACCAGGAAGTGCTTTCCCACTTGACACGATACGCGGATGCTCAGGCCAAGCGCTATCTGGAGACGGCCAAGAAAATCGAGACTATGCTCCCGCATCTCGAAGCGTTGTCTTGGGAGGTCAAAGAGGCAGACAAGGAATTCCAGATCCAAAGGACGGAGAGAGAAGAAAAGAGACGAGCCTTGGAGACGATAAAAAAGACGTTTGACGAAACGCCGATGCCTTCCCTGGCCTCTCCATCCACATCCACCAGCAGTGTGCCACGAGCGATGTCAAGATCAGATCCAGATCCGCCTCTAGGACGGAAGGGTAGCATCGTTCCTATGTTCCAGAGTACGGTCATGCCTCCACAGACGCCGTCATCCATGAGTATCCCTTCATCTATAGCTTTACCGCAGAGCCCTGAAATCTCAAAAGCTACCCTGCCGTCGATAACACCGCAGCCGGACAAGTTCAAGGGAATCAGGGATCTTGAGGAAAAGGATCCGTCTGCCATGGCCGAAGCAGGGTCAGGGGCGCATCGTAAAGAGGGCCTTTTGTGGGCACTCAGTCGGCCTGGAAGTCACGTGGATCCAAAGGGCCTGAACAAGCAAGCCTGGCATAAGTGAGTTGGTATTCTCGAAATCAATCGCTATACTGATAGTTCTAGATTTTGGATTGTGCTTGACCAGGGTAAGCTTTCAGAGTATACCAATTGGAAGCAGAGTCTGGAGCTTCACATGGAGCCTATTGACCTGCGCATGGCGTCGGTGCGCGAAGCACGAAATGCAGACCGCCGGTTCTGCTTCGAAGTCATCACCCCGCAATACACGCGGGTGTATCAGGCTACTAATGAAGAGGATATGAAGTCCTGGATCAGTGCTGTCAACAATGCACTGCAGACAGCTGTTGAATCTGCAGGAAAGTCTGACAGGCCATCGACCGATTCATTGCCCGGACAAACGCACCGCGACATTGCCTCAGTACTCACAGGCAAGAGCCCATCCATGTCAAGCCATCGCAACACGTACAACTCCAAAGCACCAGCCCGACATGCCACAGTCGGCGACCGACCAGGCGGATACCGTCGAGAGGAGAATCTCGGTGATGAAGGCCGACTTCTCCGCCAAGTCCGCGACGCAGACCCCAGCAACAAAATCTGTGCAGATTGCGGAACAGAAATCAAAGTAGACTGGGTATCAATCAACCTAGGAATAATAATCTGCATCGAATGCAGCGGCATCCACCGTTCCCTCGGCACGCACATAACAAAAGTGCGCTCCCTCACCCTCGACGTCACATCCTTCACCCCCGATATCATCGAAATCCTACTCAAAATCGGTAACCGCATCAGCAACTCCATCTGGGAAGCCAAGCTAGACGGCGCCAATAAACCAGGGCCCATGTCAACCCGCGAACAACGCCTCCATTTCATCACATCCAAGTACGCGGATCGCGCATTCGTCGCGCCCATCTCGCCCAATATGTCACACTACTCCACCCCAGAAGACACACTTCTCGCGTCGGTAAAGAAAAACGACATTCAGAACGTCCTCTACGCACTCGCCCTCCGCGCCAACCCCAACGCGCGTGATAAATCCCGCGGCACACATGTCGTCTTCCTCGCCCTTGCAGCCGCCGATCCAGCAGCCCCATCGGCCTCTGCTTCACCCGCTACCTCGCCTGGTTTCCCTCCCACATCCACCTCCTCCAATATAAACTCCACCATGCATACACCCAGCACATCAACATCCTCCACAAGCACATCAACCCCGCAATCCCCCCGCCACCCCTTCCCTCTCGCAGAACTCCTCCTCCAAAACGGCGCTGATTTACCCCTACTTCCGGCGCCGATCCCGCTTTCTCACTCCGCACGCTCGTACCTGGATTTCAAAGCTGATCAGCGCGCGGGCAAACGGAGTGCGCCGCCTATGCTGGGTACGAATAGTGCTGGCGGCGGCGGTGGCGGAGGCGGGTTTAACACCAGTACAGAGAAAATCACAGCCCTACCACCGATTCTCGCAGGCGATGGTACATCACCCGCTGACCGCGCGAGAGAGCGTGATGCCAGATTGCAGAAACGCGTTTCTGCGGGTGGTAGGCTGGTTAAGACGCCGAGTGGATTGGGCACAAGAGATGCGGGGTTGGGCGGGTATGCTGATCCGGGAGGTGACGGGGGGAAACGTGGGTCGTAAGATTTTGCTGTTGTTTCTTTGCATGTTGCACTGTGCGAGATTTGAAATGCTGAGTTTGTTGTGCTTTTAGGGTGTTCTTTACCGAGTGGGTTGTTGGGGCTTGTGGGGTTAGGTGGGCTTCGTTGGGCTGATTGTGTGTTGTGAGAAGGATAGGATAGTAAGGATGGGTGCATGGTTGTTGTTGTTGAAAACGGCAGAGAAAACGGCAGGGAAACGGGTGAAGGGTATGGTATGTAAACACGCGATCTGGATCTTGGGTTTAGACTTGAAAGTGGGACGGTGGGGGTTGTCTGACGTCTATTGTTGTTGTTGTTGTTGTTTGTTAGTCCTTTTGGATGTGTGTGGGATAGGTCTCTCGTGTCTGTCTCTGTTTGTGTATGTACGTCTTGGCTTTGGTTCTTGTAAACGGTCAAGCCAGGAAAGTAGTTGTAATGAGTAATGCGTGGGAATTGTTTTATCAACATTTGCGGGATGGGGAAGAAGTACAGACTACAGTGATGGTAACACTCAAGTGGGGATAGGAAGACATGTTATATCCTTTAACAAAGCAATCTCGTCTGTTATTCAACATCACTACATAAAACCACATCACCCACCATCACCCATATCAATCCCCTCCAACACCCAAATCGGCCGTAAAATCCTTCCTAATCCTCAAATTCTCATACCCCTCCTCATTCTCAATAACAAGCCCCTGTTCATTCGCGAGATGCAGCAAACAAATGAAGCAATAACTCGTCGAGATATCTGCGAGGGCTTTCTTGGGGTACACTTCCTGGAGGGAATTGACGACGTGAGTGAAAGTGAGGGAGCCATCTACCGCTTTGATTGCTGGGTCGTCGGTTACGGTGTTAGATTGGGGTGGTGCTGAGATCTGGGGTTTTGTTAGCTTTTGCAAGAATACTAAAGGATGGATGGGAGGGCTTACGCCTTCAAAACCGATACCACGCCAGAGTTCGTCTTTGAGTCGTTTGACGTCTACGCGTTTTGCGACTCGCGCGTATTGTACGTATTCGGGGCGGAAACGCCGGCTTTGCGTTACTAGTTGTGCGCCGAAAGCGTCAGGCTGGGAACTTGTGGGCACGCCGTCTAGGGGTTGCATTGCCTCTGCTGTTTCGGGTGCAGGGGAGAAGTGGTCGCGGGCATCTGCAAAGTCGTCGTCATCGTCGATGGGGCCACCAGGCATCGCGAGGCCGTCGTCTTGGAAGAAGTCGGCGTCGTAGTGGCCTTGGGGAGCGTCGCCTTGGTCGTCGTCTTGGCCTTGTTGGGCCCAGTATGCTTCATCGACGTGGCCGTGGGTGGGTTCTTTGGGTGGTGCTTGGGCGCGTCGGCCTTCTCGTCGAGAGCCCATGCGTGCTTTGGGCTTGAGGAAGAGTCGTAGTAGCTGTCGTGAGTTGAAGTGCTTGTCGTCTGGTAGTAGATTGCGTGATTTGGATTTCCATTGTGCTTTTGGTAGGGATATAGTCGAGTTTGAAGTGGCAGGCGTGTAGAGCATATCCGCCAGGGACTGCGACATGGGCGCTGCAAAATCAATCTCGAAAGGCTCTCTCTCCTTCCTCTTGGCTGCTGGTGCTTTTTCGACGTGTTTGACGCGGGATATGCGCCAATGCTCAGGTCCAGCCCAGCTCTTCTTAAGAGCGTTGTCGAAGTAGCTCAGAATGTTCTCTTGTTCATGGTCCCGGCCATGTACCATTGAGACACCATACTGAGCGTCAGCGCCAATACCATTCTCCGCACTTTCCACAACGTCATCTTCACCCTCAAGACCCATTGTGTGAACGCGAGCCTGTGGATCTCTGATAGCCTCTCGAGCCCAGATTTCACCACCTTCACCAAACCCGGTCTCTGGAGGGAGATCAAATCCACCCATGTTTGCATCGTCATCATCATCAAAGCCCATGGGATTGTCGTCATCGAGGAAGAGGCCTGACCGGTTTCCGGCCTCGTCTTCCTCATCCTTATCACCTTCATCGTTGTTGGTTTCTTCGGGGGCCTTGAGGAATGGAAGATCCATGGAGCCGTTCACATCGCCAAGATCGAATGTCTTCATTGACGGGCATACGTCCTGGTTGTCAAGGCGAGACAGATCGGGGAAGTATTTCGCAGCAAGGTCGGACAAATGGATATCGACGTCGTCAAAAGCATGTATCTCAGCCAATTCTTGATCTTGTTGGTTTGTCTCTTCAGGGGCTGGAGTGGCGCGGGTATCTTGGGCAGTTGCATCATTCGCATCGTCGCTGCTGTCAAAAACAATCCTGCCCTTGGCGTCAATGGCCAGATGGTTAAGTAGCAGACCCTTGGCGCCACCCTCGTCGAAATCAGCGGACGCTTTCTTGAAAAGAGGATCAACCGAGAATTCAAGCTCCATCTTCTTGTTCTGCAACTGAGCAAAAGAAGAGGCAAGTGTGGCTTCGGCAGACCGAGTAGCCCTCTTCTTCCGCTTCTTCTGACCATCTTCTCCCTCTTCTCCATCCTCGCCGTCCCCGTCCTCTCCATCATCTCCGTCGTCTGCGTCGCCCCGGCGCTTCTTGCCTACGTTCTCGGCGAGTCCACTGAGCAACTTGCCCGTGTCGGTGGCGACACTGTCGACTCGGCTGGTGTAGATCTTGACGCAGCCATCCAGGGTACAACTCGCCTTCTGAAAGTTGACTGTATCACCTTCCTTGAGGAGCGACATCTCGTGGAAGTAGTCAATAAGGGCAAAGTTCCATGAGTTGTTTGCATTGATTTTCTACGCCCATTAGCCATGGCAGACACTGGAGACAGAATTGGGAGCGCAAACATTATCCGTCGCCATCTTCATCCATTCCTCGAAGTTAGCCAGCAGCGGCATGACGCGCTTCCCGGGCGTAACGGCAGTGCCGGTGATATCGGGCATGCCATCAGGGTCCTGCGAAGGCGTCTGGGGGCTATGCTGTCCGGCAGCCATAGAGATACGCCTCCTCGCAGGCGTCGCCGTCGAGGCACGCATCGAGTTACGCTGCGCATTCTGCTGTGCATGGCGGCGAATTGCCTTTTCCTGTCGGTCGTCGTTGAGAGGTACTCTGCAGTGGTTAGCGACACGATGGCGGGGTACAAGGGCGGGGAAACAGTCATACTTGATCGGTGTCTTTTGCGGCGAAGCGGCCGTGGTATATTTGGTGGTGCGCGCCATAATGGTGGATATATGCGCTATGTTGACGATGCAGTCGCAGGGCGTTGTTTGTTGTCTGGACCCCGGGATTGCACCGCCACACACCCGCGTTGAACGCCACACGCCACATCCTTATCTTATCCGCTGGCAGTTGGCAGGCTGCACTGCCACACCGTCACTAGACCACGGCACTCACTAGCAAGTTGGCCTGAACATGCGACGCCAATCCTTACCAACGCCCGCAGCGGGCAGCTCGCCGTCTCCGCCGCCTCTTCTGCTTCGTCTCGTCGCCCAACTACGCCCACTCGCCCGCCCGTCGTGCTCCAGACGATAACAGCCACGTCTGATCAAACGGTTCGCGCTCCGTCTTCCGCCTTCCTGTGACGTCGGTACGCCACGACAGCGTCGACAGCATCCTACTGGATGCGTCGTAACGAGGCGCATGGCCTTGGTACACTACCGCGACCCACCAGCAAATGCGATCCCATTTAAAGACTGCCTCTACTGCCGCGGGCGCATTCTTATCTGCAAAAAATGTCGTGACAATGGACGACGACACAATCCTTAAACATACCCAGCGATGGCGCCGCTCGCGCTACTCAGCGCGTCCATTTGCCCTCACCATCCTCGCCATCACTCTTATGGCCCTGCTGGCATGGACAAAGATACAGATTGGCGATACGGCAGCACCCCATACGCTGTCGAAGCGTGATATAACTATCCTAGACGAAGAGGTAAGTTGGTGTTTCAATAGAGCTGGACAAATGCTGACTGACCGCCCAGTGCCGACTCGTTCACCATGCCAAAGACCAGTGCGCATTTGTTCGCGCAAACTGTCCCGACGAGGAGGCCGGTGTTATCTCCTACCTCAGTCTCTACTACTGCCGCCTACCGCATGCCAGACCCTTTGCCTTTGTGCTCATGACACTATGGCTCGCCCTTCTCTTCAGCACCATCGGAATCGCCGCGAGTGACTTCTTTTGCATCAATCTCAATACGATTGCGCGCATGCTGGGCATGAGCGAGAGTCTGGCTGGTGTCACATTGCTCGCCTTTGGCAATGGAAGTCCCGATGTCTTTTCCACCTTTGCCGCCTTCCGTACACATGCTGCAAGTCTGGCCGTGGGGGAGCTCATTGGCGCCGCATGCTTCATCACCGCTGTTGTTTCCGGCTCCATGGCCCTCATCCGTCCTTTTCAAGTCGCACGCAAGAGCTTTATCCGCGACGTCGGCTTCTTCCTCGTCGCCGCAACATTTAGCATGGGTTTCATCGTCGACGGGAAGCTTCACTTATGGGAGGCTGTCAGCATGGTTGCATTCTACCTCTTCTACGTCGCATTCGTTGTGGCATGGCACTGGTGGCTCAATCTGAGAAAGGCTCGACGCGCGCGGGCTGCTGCAATGAGAAGCCATTTTATCACGCCTGGGGGTGACGAGGAGGAAATTCCAGAGTATCACGACGATGAGACACCTGGAGGTAGCGGGACCTCAGCTCGCCACATATCCGTCGACGATTTCTCTATGCTCGAGCACGCAGGCGGCCATGATATGATTGACGACGATGATAACGAGGAGCAACGCGAAAGATGGATGGGCGAGTTGACAAACAATATGCGCCTCAATCGCCCGAGCATGTCACGCCGCAATACGCATACGCCGATTCGTCCCAGTCTGGTAGGCGCTCTTGAGTTTCGTGCAGTGCTGGCTTCGCTGCAAAAGTCACGTAATATTCAGTCTATGCCAATCAGTCTTCGACGATACTCGGATGACCCTACCTACACGACTGCTCAGCAGCAGCACCACATGTCACGTGGGGCTGGCCCGGCCACGCGACCTCCATTTGACATGCCTGACCATCTTTCAGACATGGAGCCGCAAGTAAGCCGTCCAAGTCTCGACGTCAGCCAAAGCCTAGCCAGTAGAGTTCGAGCCGTATCAACCAACGACATTGACAACATTCGGCTTCAAACTACCACGCTGCAGAGATACGAAGTTCCTGATATAACTTTTCAGTTACCAACTCCCGGTCATCATAGGACATTACTGAATGCTCCCCCGTCGCCCACCATCTCCCTGTCCCCGCCGCCCTCTCGATCATCTCATGCACCAAATCTCAGTGTGCCGAGCATTCGGCCCCTATCGCCTAACAGGTTGGCGCCGCCCAGTGCTGAAGATCGAGTACCGCATCGCCAGGATCCTTCATCGGCGAGTTCAATCTCTTCTCCTGTTCTCGAGCCTGGAACACGCCCTCAACCTCCTAGCTTGAAGTTGGCTGTTCCTGATGCTACTTCGCCCCCAATACCATTCCCTGCATATATAGAATATCCTTGGTCAGCACACTCGACCTCACGACCTCCAAGTCTCCGCCCGCCATCGCATAGTGCATCTCCAGAATCTACTTATTTTTCAAGAGATCCATTTGGATTACTTGATCAGGCGAGGACGCCAAGGTGGTGGCCAACGAGCCTTCTCCCTCCACCTTACATTCTTCTCTCTACGCTATTCCCAACGCTTACCAATTGGACGGATAAGACCTTCTTCGACAAAGTACTGGGTTTAGTAGCAAGTCTACCAGTATTCTTGCTTACCATTACACTTCCGGTGGTGGAGCCTGAAAAGGATGAGAACGAAGGGGGACATGCTGAATTCTCTCTTGACCTTGGCCTGACACCGGCAACTACACCACATCCTGACAGCATGGATTCACACGCGCGCAGTGTATCTTTCAATCTACCACCAGATTCAAGCGCAGACGTCAGCCTATCCAAGTCTAAGAGCCTTGCACATTCCCGCGGCGGCTCTCTTAATATCAGTATCAACCAAAGACCACAAGTCTACATCACAAGCTCCGAGAACGTCGCCCAGTCACCTGAGGAGCTCCCTAGTATCCCTACTCCTTCCGATCCAAGACAATGGAACCGTTGGCTAGTCATTGTCCAAATCTTCACAGCCCCATTTTTCATCGTCCTAATTTTCTGGGCAAACCTCGAACCTGAAAATCCACGTACTCTACTACGCCATACACTCTATGGTCTTTTGGTTTCTCTCTGCGCTCTCGCACTTATTCTCCTGACCACCACGCCAGATCGTCCGCCTCGCTGGCGTTCCGCGCTCTGCTTTCTTGGATTCGCTGTTGCTATTGCCTGGATCAGCACCATTGCCAATGAAGTCGTTGGTGTTTTGCGCACCTTGGGCGTAATCATGAATATGTCCGACGCCATTCTCGGTTTGACAATCTTCGCGGTCGGAAACTCTCTAGGTGACCTTGTCGCCGACATCACCGTTGCCCGTCTTGGTTTCCCCATCATGGCGCTCTCGGCTTGTTTTGGTGGTCCCATGCTCAACATCTTGCTCGGCGTGGGTCTGAGTGGCTGTTACATGATTATTACAAAGGGCGAACATCGGCATGAGAAACATCCTAACCAGTCTGTGCACTTCCGACCGTACCATATCGCTGTCAGTACTACTTTGGTCATCTCGGGAGCGACATTGCTTTTCACGTTGTCTGGGTTGCTTGTTGGTGTTCCCATGCGTAAATGGAGGATGGACAAGGTGGTTGGGTGGGGTTTGGTTACTTTGTGGTTTTTGAGTACTGCTTTGAATGTTCTTGTAGAGGTTTTGGGTTACAGTAGTAACGTAAGCTGACAATCATAGGTTTCAATGGCATACATGCTGTTAGTCAAGAATTGTGCCTTGGTTCCATTATTGATATTTGCTGTGTGTTGGTGCACTGTGATGTACTACTGCTGAATTACAGAAAACAGTGGCTAAAGCAGCAGTTCGACTGATGAGCAGAAGAGCAAGATGTACATCTGGCACAAAACGAGTATAACCAAAGCAAAACTTCGAGTGTTCTCAAATAAATTATGAAATACGGTATCACACAAAGGAACTGATGGCCTGATCCCATCATTACCCACCCACCCATCCAGGTACCATCACCTACTCCCTAATCGCCATCTTCTTCTCCAACCCCAAAATACTATTCATAACCAACTGCAACTTCGCCGTCGTAAACGCCTCGTCACCCATAGGCTTCATCGCACGCCACGCGACCGTACGATCCGGCCTCACCAACACCGCACCCTTCTCGCCCACCTCCCTAACCTTGAACCAGCGATGTTCGGTATCACCGTAATCCTGACCAAACCCAATGCTCGCCACATGAATCTCAATACCAGTGGTCTTGGACACGTGCTCCGCAGCACCCGCCCATAAAGCCTTACCACCGATACCAGTCAAGAGCGTGAAGCGACCTTTGCCGCAGACATCACGGGTGGAAACAAGAGGCAGACGCGGACCGGGCGTTTCCTGGCGCGGTGTGAGCCAAGCGTGGGGAACGCGCCAGCCAGGGTATGTGCTGGTGTACAACTTGACAGAGCGGTCGGTGAAGTCTTCAGGCCAGTATGGGGCCTCTGTTTCATCGGCTGTGTAGACGGCGGTGGATTTGTACCATTGGTTCATCATAGCGCCGAGGCCGTGGTGCTCGTCTGCTAGGTCGCGTATCGCGTTGCGGAATTGCTGGCGGAAAGCCTCTCCAGCCTCGCTGTCTTCTCGCAGCAACGCACGCTTTTCCGCACGTATGTCGGTGCCTAGGGGGCCGAAGTAGCCCAGCATGCCGTAGAGGCGGAAGTTTAGGCGTCCGTTCTCGTTTGTGCGCTTGACGACAAATTCGCCGGCGGGCTGGCGTTCAGCGTTGTAAGTATCAAGCAAGGACTTTGAAGCTTTGCCCTTGAGAACCGCCGCCATTTTCCAGGCTAGGTTGTAGGAATCCTCCAGGCAGGTGCTTATGCCCAAGCCGCCGAAAGGAGGGTGACGGTGCACAGCTGTTCCTACGCCGTGCACGTTACCAACGGAGTAGTGTTCAGCGTGGACTTCTTCAAAGTTCCACACACTAACGTCTTTGATCTTGTACTCGACAGTGTCGTCGTTGACGAGTTCCTTGACGCGCTCGATGACTTGCTCGTTGGTGGCTGTGAGCTTCTTGTATGTCGGGTGCGGGAAGAGGGATATGTCCCAGTCTTTCCAGGGCCGGATGAAGTGCGCGATGCCCATCATGCCGTATTCAGGCTGCGGCTTGTCGGGGCGCTGGAGGTAGTTGAGGAGCGCGCGGTTGTGGTCGGTCAGGTGAGTTAGGTCTGCGTCCAACCAGACGCTGGTTACGAAACCGTTTCCGGGGCCTCGCACGAGGGGGAGGTCGAGTTGCTTCACTACGGTACTGTCGGCACCGTCGGCGCCGGCGAGCTGCTTGGATTGGACCTTGTAGGTCTCGCCCGTTGCTGTGTTTTCCAGCGTGCTGATGACGATGTTCTTTTCGAGATCTTGCTCGAAACTGACGAGGCGTGTGTTCCAACGGATCTTGAAGCCATGTGATTCGGCGTACTCGATGAGGAGGGGTTCGAGATCTGTCTGGCAGAGGCAAAGGGCCTCTGATGGACTGGCATCGTAGTATTCACCCTGGAAAATTAGTCAGTATGGAGTAAACATGACTTTGCCTCTGAAAAGAGGGGGGGGGATCGTTCAGTCTCGGAAAGGAGACAGTGGAATGAATCTTACCTTCCGGTGAGGGCTGTTGCCAAAAACATGTGCCCTGTACACCTCCTCTCCCGTCATAGTCTCGACGAGACGCGTCCATGTGGAGTATTCAGGTACGGGATAGGAGATAGCCCTAGCCTTCTCCTCAAGGCCGATCTCGCGAAGGCACTCTGTTCATGCGAGTCAGCTTCTGTCATGGTGTGTGGCTACATCTTTGAAACGCGATGCTTACGTACCCAAGACCTGCCATATGCAGATAGTTGGCGCGAGGGTGCGAAGGCGGGGCATGGTTTCTTCAGAGATGATCAAGCCCCTCGATTCCTGGTAAAGTATCATCATGTGGTCAGCTGACTTTCGCACAATGCAGAGATAATCGCGCCACCAGTCATACCTTGAAGGCCCAAGAAGGACCCCAGCGAAGTACCCGAAGGGCCTGCGCCAACGATGAGAACGTCGGTCTCATCAGCGATGGTGGTGGTGTTGATCGTCTCTCCAAAGTCACCCATGATGGGCTTATAGGCAGTGGCGAAGAAGACCAGATAAGGATGTACAAAAGAGGGAAGTAAGATATAAACGTATGACTGCAGGTACTTCTTTGTTTAGACTTGTCTGTAAGAAGCTATTGCTGCATTGTGCTATGTAATACAGCGGCGTTGCCTCTACTTTATCTGTAAGCAAAACGCCCTACCTACCTACACCACTCCCTCAGACACCCCCTCATTCGGCCAATTCCACCCTCGTTTCGCGGTAGTTGTAGAACCCCGAGAACCGCCTCATACCCCCATCCCCACTTCACGCTCCTGTGAACATGTTCCGAACCCAACCAAAAAACCCCACTTTACCAAGAAGAAAATACCCCGTGGGAAGGAAATGGAGGTGGAACGTTCAGGTGATCTCAGCTAATCGGTAGGTTTTGTTGCAGTTATGATACCCGATGAACCCACCACACACCTCCACATCGGCACTTAGTCACCCCGACCAATGGCATTGTCGGTTTGGCAACTGCTTGTACACATGGTTGTTCGCGTACGCAACTAGAAACGGGACATTCCGCTGTAAGTAAGCAACTTTGCCCAGTAATCAGCGTCGTTCGCCAGCCAGATACCTGGGTTTGCCGATTACATTGCAGCTCTTGCAACCCAAGCCCATGGGAACGCGTTCGGCACCGAGAAACGCAGTGAGACTTCCAGACCCGCAGCACCTCGCATTATCTCTGTAGATGGGTAGGTAGGCTGTGTAGACAAGGCCATCAGCCAGCCAGACACACAACACTAGGCAACCGCCATGCAAGCAACGCAATGCCATCTTACCTCACCAACCCCGATACAAGCCAAAAAGGCCAAGATCAGGCGGGAAAACCCCCAAGCCAAACAGCCCAAGTCGCGGCCGGCAACAAAAAAGGAACAAGATTGACAGACAGAAAGCCGGGGAAAACGTGGTACCCCAGGTCGGCCTAAACAACACAAGTAGCGCCGCGCCGCTTACATATGCCGATGAGTCAGCGGTACCCTCGCGTGTCGCGCCGCGACAAGAGACATGGACACCCTCTCGGATTCGCCCGATAGCTCTCGGCTCGCAAGGCGGGGGCAAATCACCTTGACACGTGCACTGCAGCATCGTGCAAGGTGCTACAAGTACCCGTAGTGCTCTCATAACCAAGTGGGGGGCATGCGGCTAAACCAACCTAAACACAACCTACTGTGCGTACCAGCGACGTAGCGCGCAAGCCAGCAAGGCGCACGTGTGCGCCTATTGCATAATCTGCATCCCGTGCGGGCGTGCTTTTACTCGTTAGTCTTATCCCACGGTCCCTGTGTCGCCGTCGCGCAAAAACGCCTCAGCCGCAATCACGCAACTTGCACCCCAAACCGGGAAAAGGCCGTTTTTCTTACCACCCGCCCAACGCTGTTTCCGCCAAGCAAAAATGGCCTGTTCCCCCGTCCGGCCCGTAAGAGCTTGTTGGCTGTTATCCATGCTATCCTTGCTTGCATTGCCGGATGGAACAAAAATGCACTAAGAGGGGAAGGGGGAGGGGGAGGGGAGAGGGAGGGGTGGTATGATGAAACCAGGAGAGAGCAAATACGTAAGATTGCGAGGTTGCAACGGTGCATATAGGAGGTTGCAATCCCTTCGGTTGGGTTTGGGGGTTTTCGGGTACTTTTTTGTGGGTTGGGGTTATCTACATACGCTTTTTTTCCGTCTACCTAAACTAAGATACTATCGGTTGTCGAGCTTGTCTAAATCTTGTTTTTTCGTTGGTCTGCTTGCCCTTGTGAGGATTAACAGGTCGATAACGCTGAGTTGCTATACCCGTCCTTGCCCGTTGTCTTGGACGTATATCGACTCACGCTTTCCACTCGCGCTGTTGTAACAACCTTGTTCAGCTGCTTTTCTTGGTCTTTTGCATCATCGCGATTTTTTTTCAACTCAATATCTTCATCTTTTTTCTTTTCTACGACAATGGATCTAGTCCAACTTGACGCGCTTTGCTCAGACCTCACCGTCGCAGCGAGAGCGTTCAAATCGCTTTGCGAAAATAGTGGTAACAACCGCAGTCCGGACAACAATGTCTCGGTCAAGGAACCGCTTTTTCTCTCGGCAAATCCCCTCGATGCCGAACATGAGATTGCCATGGCGAGGAGGAACCTTTGTGGTATTACCACGCGTTTGCAGACGCTACTATCGGGACCGACATGTTTTATTCGCCGGATGGCTGCGCAGGTAAGTTGATTCGCTGTTGCGACTTTCCTGGTAACAGTTTTTGCTGACTCATCACCCGGGGTGTAGAACCAACTACTCGCCTGTCTCAAATGGCTGGGCGAATTCCAAATTACAGCCTATGTTCCCTTGAGCGACAGTATTTCTCTCGACGAACTGGCCGAATTGGCCGATGTCCCGGAACACACGCTTAGTCGGGTTGTGAGGATGACCGCGACGGCGGGCTTCTTACACGAACCACAATTGGGTTATGTCGCGCATACGCCCCTATCCTTGGCTTTTACAAACGAACTCCTATACTTTGATGCCGCCATGTTTCTGGCCAATAAAGTCGCTCCTTTGGCGCTGGATCTGACGCCGTTTGAGCAGAAGCCAAACCAGGCTGGCTTGAATATTGCGGGCATGCAGTCGTTTGACTCTTTCGCTACACATCGCGCTCAGGAGCCGCAACTCAATCGGCAGTGGCTTGCTTATTGCCACAGCGTGGGTAGTACGCAGAATGATCTTGGTGCTTTGATCAATTTGTTGAACTGGCAGAGTCTTGGAGACGCGTCAGTTGTCCATGTAAGTTGCTTGAGTCAACCCCCCTTTTGTAGCAACCTCCTGACTGTATGACAGATTTGTGACCGATACACCAAGTCATCACAGGCTCTCGCACATATTTCTAATGGGCTCCGCGTAATGGTACAAGCGTACGACTACGCGCCCACAGACTCACCGTTGACTGGCCCCGAAGAGGAGCAGGAGCCTCAAATTATCCACAACATCAATGTTCAGCGAAGGAAGCCAACAGCGGCGCAGCCAGTAGGTGAAGCGGCTGTATATATCCTACAGCCGTCATTTGACGCCCGAAGTACTGATGAATATTCTCCTCAAGAGCTCCTCACCCTCGAGTTGCAGTCGCATTTCAGGGTTCTGCGAAACAACGTGTCTGCTCTGCTGATCCTGGCCCCCAAAATGCTGCCAGAACCAGGCTCTGTGGCGCTCAACTTGGAGGTGCAAGCGCGTTTACTAGATTTTGCAGAGATGCAGTTCACTCGAAAGAGCGCTGTAGAGGTGACTGAGCTGTTCAAGCTGACTGAGAGCATTTGCGATGCGCACGGAAGACTTATGGTAACCAAACGTCTTCGGTCAGCTGATGGAGCTACCATTGCTTTAGCTGTCAAATATCAGGCGTTCTCGGACCGTAGTGAGCTTGTATAAACTTTTGGCTTGTTTTTTTTAGTTTTGTTTCCCAAGTATGCATACGTGACAGAACGAATGACTAATCCATGGTGTTGCAATAACGGGAACGCTGCGCCGACACGTGTTTTGCATAACATGGATAAAGGATCTATCCATCCGTCCCAGGAACTACTCTACCGGCTAGGCGGTCCCAACGGGGATGTTCTTTTCCAATTCTGTAGTTGTGCAAGGCCGGAGAAGGGCGTATGGAACCCCGCGGTACGTTCGAGCGTGCATATGCTCCGAGCAACGGGGTTAGGATCGGACCGAAGAATCAGCCGGACATGGGTGGGATACCGGGCGCGGAAGATATGGCGCGACAACTTTGTACATTCGTGCTGACGAACGGCCGCAAGTCTGGTCGGTTCTAGAAGCCACCAATGCCAGGCAGTGGCATGATGCGCGGATGATAACTCTGGTCCGCATCAGGCCTTAGGTGCCCCATCAGCTTCCAAGCCCAGTGTCCGTTGTTCCGTGTCCTATAGGTTCAAAGGTCGTGTCTAATCTTCTTCAGCTCTCAACTTGCTACTTCTTGGCTATCTTCAGAATTTGACGGCACACCTCAACAATCACCAAACCAGCTACTTGCATCCAAAATCGAAAATGGCACCCACCACGACAGATAGCAAGGGCCTCCCGCCAAGCAAATATCTTTGTCTTACCATTCTCGGCTACCGTAAGCCTGGCATGAGTGAGGAGGCCTATCGTCGCCATATGATCGAAGTTTCGGCGCCACTGACTAAGGACCTCATGACAAAGTATGGCATCAAGCGCTGGACCGTCATTCATAACCCAGTGGAGACGAGAAAGCTGATGACGTATCTTTACGATCGACAAATGTCCAACATATCCGACATCGACTGCTTTAGCCAAGTTGTTTTTGAAGATCTCGAGGCTTACAAGCGGATGAAGACGGACCCGTGGTACAAGAAGCATTTGTTTGGCGATCATGAAAATTTCGCGGACACGGAGAGAAGCCAGTAAGTCGTCTGCCAACAAATTTGGGGCTAACGGCCAAGTTTACCAAACTGATATCATGCAGAATGACGATTGGGTGGATTGAGGAATGGGTCCACGACGGTGAAACTAGGGAAAATATGAGTGCGCCTTGGGCGTCCTTCAAACCCAAGCCGGTGCAGTCGTTGGCAGTGCGTGTCGCGGATGTATCGTCTCGGGCTGCTATTATCACGCTGCTGCTATACTGCGCGGTGAAGCTATCCCAATAAACATGGAATCACTGACGAGCCATCTAACGGCAAGTGGAAGGAAGACGCGGAAAAATTGAGGACATACAGATAGACACGATACCTGGCGGAAGGACAGATGCGAAGAATGTTACGCCGTCGTCGGCGGCCCCCAAATGTATGTTACGTAAATGAAGACGGTTGGCTAGAGTTTTGCCATTTTGGATAGTCGCTATAGAAAATTAATAGTAACACACAGGCCACGATCTGCGTACCGTGGTGGATTCAGAGCCTCTATCGCATTCTTCCATGCAGTTACACGTAGGGAGCACACGTGGGCTTCGCATTGCGTATGAGGCTTGATCTAGGTCTAACTTCGGTGCATCCAGGATGTAGCCTCACGATGTGGCGAGGTTATCAGTTCACTGGGGTTTGAACTATTGGCGTGATTGCCGGCTCTTTCGTACCAGGGGTGGTAAGGCGGGTGTAGGTAGTAGGTTGGTATCAGGGAAAAGAAGGGTCGTAGGCGTTGCCGTTAGCAGGAAATGCTAAACCACCTACAGCACGCTAGCGTACAAGGATCCGAAGTCCAACCGGATCCGAATACCTGCCGGATCCGAAGTCCTGCCTCACGGAACCTGTGCAGCACTGGCGTCCCCACTGACCAGGCTGCTGCGGCTTCTGCCTATTGTGTGTAGCACCACGGCGTGCACGTACAAGATGGAGGGGCGACAGGGTGCGGCAGGGCGCGGCAGGGTAAGATGGGGTACAGATGGGGGAATGTTATTGTCAGGACGGCGATTGAGTGCTCGATACGCCCGTATGAGCTGGCGTAAGCTGAGAGTGGCTGGAACGAGCAGATTTCAGGCGCCGGATATTGAGCACGACATAGTGTCGCCACGGCTGTATGCGTATGCGCAATGTAACTGCAGTCCTGTTATTGCTAGTGATGGCAGGTATCAGGTACATGCATGAGCAGGGAATAGGTGTAGTGTGCAGGAGCAGAGGCTGTTTTTTCGAGGCTCGGGTCGTGGGGTGCCAGGGTGGCAGGGTTCCCCTACTAGGATGACTAAGGTGGGTCCTCGGTGCACGCCGGGGCATGGTAAGTGATATGCAGGGGAGAGCGAGCTTGGTGCTAGCCGGGTTAGGCAAGTATCCTCACGTCAGCTCTCAGCTTGGAAAGCCGCGAGGGCTTGGAATTCGATGATCGAAGAGGCTTATACGAAGGCGCGGATCGGGGATACGAGGCGGCGGCGGGAGATGGGAATCATGCATGTGAGAGCTGCAAGCCATCATCATATGCATCCGCCACAACGTCATCCGTGGGAGAGTCAGCATTGTCGAGATGTTGGGTCAACATGGTAGTATCAAACGAAGCTTGCACTTGGAAGCATGCTGTGCACATGGGGACTAGCCTGTCGCGTCCAGCGCGGTACCCTTGAAGTCGGTACTTAGTACTTAGCAGGTAATTAGCAATATTTTTGTTGGGCTGGTCCAATAGCCTGTTTTTCCGGACTTGACATGTCTCCCGCACCTGGCGCTATATGGAGCCAGGCTGGGTAGTATGATGCGGCGCCACGGGAACAGGCGGGTTCGACGATAGGTGGTTGTCTAAGTGCGACAAAGGCCAGGCAAGTGGCACGAGCACTATCGGTAAAGTGGCGCAATCTTGATGACCAGGCATCCCGGCTAAGGCACGCCAACGGTCGCATCGGACACTTTCCCAGCGTCCCAGGGCCCGCTAGCGCTGTTAGGGAAGCTGCAGGCCGTGCGTTCGCGAACTGCTAGACGTCTGGGCTTGGCGGGGTGGGAGGGGTGCCGACGACTGTGGGAAGCCTGGAGCACGTATCGAGTCTCGCAGGCCCCCAAACCCCAGTCCCGACCGCAATTGCCTGCCGCCCTGTAGTGGGTGGCATTCAGAGATCGAAATTCTGCAGGCAATCGCTATTCCTCCCAATCGGGCCGCCCAGGAACTGAGGCGTCCATCCCACGGTCCTGACAGATGCGAGCGAGCACGCTGAGGGTACTAAAGAATGCATCCGCCTGAACATGTAGCAGTCAACCAAACATCAAAGAACGGTCGCCATGACAGCCATGATTGTACCTCAAGCAGTGAAGAAGCAAGATGCGACTGTGACTGCGACGGCCCCTCGAGACCCCGCCGACCCCGTCCTTGACGAGCGGCCAGCCACAACCACAGCCACAGCACCAGCCACAGCCACAGCACCCCCACGAACCACTGGCCAAAAGCTGCGTGACTGTTGCCAGTCGTGTGCTCGCTCAAAGGTCAAGTGCACAAAGGAGAAGCCGTCGTGTTCACGCTGTGAAACCAAAGGCATCCCGTGCCGCTATCTGCAGTCCAAACGCCCGGGACGAATCCCAGGAAGTGGTGCTCGACGCTCCAATCCAGCCAACACCACCCGCCCTAAAAGCAGGGCAGGGGCCGATACACGCAGCCTTGCGAGCCCACAACCACGACAGGAGAGTAACCCCGCCGACGACGCTGCTGCATCCACCCACAACGCTGCCGCTCTCCTGTCCCCATCTTCGACCGCATTTGGCACCCTTCCCGTAGACAACACCCACCAGCGAGCCGACTCGTTATTCGACACATACTATGGCGCTACACACTCCCCGGACATTCAGATGGACGGCGATCAAGATCTCCCCTTTGTCTGGGACGGCTATTTTGATGTCCTCGGCACCAACACCATGGACGACCCCACGTACGCCAACATGATGGACTGGGACTCCACAGCAAGCCCCTTGGACATGAGCCTACCATTCCCTGCCACGGGTCCTCATGGCGATAGTCTACCCCTCTGCGGCAGTATGCCACAGTCGCCCGCAAGCCGATTGCTACCCACCACATCACTTTTTCCATCGACAAATACACAGCGACCAGACCTCTGTTTCCTCACATCATCCTCTGCCTCGTCATCGTCAATTTTGTCTTCAACATCAATGGCTTCCTCGTCGTCGTCATCGTCGTCGTCACTGTTCTCAGATTACTCAACTCTGCCAACAACCATCGCCTCACCCACGGCCTCGGCCAAAAGCTACATACAACACAAGTCGGCTTCTTCAGTCTCTTCGGTAGACCAGAACCAGCGCGAACACAGCACCCCATCGTCCTGCATTTGTCTAGACAAGGCTCTCGATCTGCTCAAGGCTGTGACTAAAGACCCTTGTCCCGATCCGTCTAGGGCGCACAGCAAGTCCGTCACACAGGCTATTCTTGCCAAAAACAAGGAAACCATTCAAGCTACGCTCGCAATATTAGCCTGCGAGTCTTGCATGGAGGACAGGTTGCTAATCATGGTCGCTCTTCTCATCGCAATGGAGATGCTTCCACGATATGCGTCTGCCGCCGCCTTGACTGGCCTCACTGCCTGCCTCTCTGACGACCCTCGCACTGACAACATTTTGGGAACTATGGACCCAAGACCCCACGACCAGAACCTTCCTCGGCAAGCAAAGTTACAAGTGCTCCGAGAACTACATTTGGTACAGAGGCTCATCACTCAATTGTCTTCGAGATTGAAGGGTCTTTCATCTCATGGAAGGAGTGCAGGATCGTTAGAAGCGCTGCTAGGAGCTCAATCCTCCTTGCAACGACCAGGCAGCAGAAACGCCCCCCAGAAAGGGGGCATGTCTACGCACTCGTCAAATTCGTCGGTCTGCAGCGACAATGAGCTGATGCCCATCTCAACGCGCACATTAGACTTGGTCGAGGATGATGTACGGAATAGTCTTAGTTCCCTTTCGGCAGTAGTTAGGAATGCATTGAAGCAAAGTTGAGGCTGAACGCCCGGACGATGACGTCGCATGTGCATACCATAGTTAGCTCCATTAGTTTAATATACCCAGTAACGCCATCATTACTCATCTGAAACACCATGAATGATTACTCCGTGAATTTGGCCGCTGTCAGCTCGTTGGGAAAGGGACAAAAGCTTGTCCTGCAGCGACGGCGGTATATGTACCGGATCTTATTTTACACCGTTTTGAGCCGCATGCTCGCGTGGGGGTGTGGCGTCCAATCAGGGAAAGCTGTGGCGTAGTAACCGGAAGCCGTGGATTCCGCCGCGTTTCCGCGGCTTCCGTCTCGCGTTCGCGCGCGAACGCGAGCTCCGGCTTACTATGTACCGCGGGCCCCGTCTCTTGACGGCTCTGCTTACTCTCGATTCCCCTGCAGTACACACCCGCGACCCGATCGACTCATCCCAGAACGGCTTTTCGACTCGTATGTGGCTTCTAGATCCATTACACCATGACGACCCAATTCGGCCGTACCACCCCAGAAACACACTCCTGTCTCGCCGCAAAATCAGAGTCGATTACACCATGACCTTCTAACCAGGGCGTGTCATCCTAGGACGACTATATGCCTCAGTGCTATTCGAAACCAAAACGCCCAATGATTATGTGCAGCGGGTCGGCGGTTGTCACCCTCACCCCTTGTTCCTTGTCTTGTACGCCTACCAAACTCCTCGGTTTCACCGACCTTCCGTTACTCCTTTCGATCTGTGTTCAACATCGACATTTTGCTATGCGTGAGACAGTTCGCATTATGGCACCACTTATGGTCTCGCCGTACATGGTGCCATGTACGGAACTCCAGTCGATCAGCACTAACAACGCGCAATGTCGACAAGGTATGGGCAGTGAGAGTCGGACGTGGGCGAACCTGGGAGACGAGATAGCAATGCATCAGGGTAAAACTGGTGAGGGACGAGAGGAGTCTAAGGGCCGATATCAGAGTCTCATAGTTGATATAAAGAAGGTGTTGAGTCGACGTCTTCTTCTCATCATCAGCAGCATCTTCAGCTTCACATTCCAATCTCAACCATTCAAACTCCCTTTTCCAAGCTTCCAGCGCCCCTTCTTCTCTCCCACAGAAATCTCCAAAAACAAACTTTCAAAATGCCTCACATCGAGTCTGAGACCTACATTCCCGGTCGCCTTGACGGCAAAGTCGCAGTCGTCACTGGATCCGGTCGTGGAATCGGTGCAGCAGTCGCCATCCATCTTGGTCGTCTGGGTGCCAAAGTAGTAGTCAACTACGCAAACTCCATCAAGGACGCGGAAAACGTCGTCGCTCAGATCAAAGCCCTCGGCAGCGACGCCATCGCCATCAAGGCCGACATGCGCCAAGTGCCCCAAATCACAAAGCTCTTCGACGAAGCCGTCGCGCACTTCGGCCACGTCGACATCGCCGTCAGCAACTCCGGCGTCGTCAGCTTCGGCCACCTCAAGGACGTAACCGAGGAAGAATTCGACCGCGTCTTCAGCCTCAACACGCGTGGCCAATTCTTCGTCGCCCGCGAGGCCTACCGCGTGCTCAACGAGGGCGGCCGCATTATCCTGACTTCGTCCAACACGTCCAAGGACTTTAGCGTGCCCAAGCACTCACTCTACTCCGGTTCCAAGGGCGCCGTTGACACTTTTGTTCGCATCTTCTCAAAGGACTGCGGCGACAAGAAGATTACTGTTAATGCTGTTGCGCCGGGTGGTACCGTGACGGATATGTTCCACGATGTTGCTCATCATTATATCCCTGGTGGCGAGAAGTACTCACCTGAGCAGCTTCAGGAGATGGCTGCTCATGCTTCGCCGCTACATCGTAATGGGTTCCCGGCTGATATTGCTAATGTTGTTGGGTTTATTGCTAGCAAGGAGGGTGAATGGATTAACGGAAAGGTTCTTACTCTTGATGGTGGAGCCGCTTAGATGGGGGGTTTAAAAATAGTGTTAGAGTGGTAGATTAATCAGTTGGGGGAAATGCGTTCGAACTTTTGCCTAGATAAAAATACACTCCTTATATGTTTAGTGCTCTGATTCCACAATGGCTTAATACTGAACACATCACTGTCAATTCAATCAGTCTCCTATCTGGAGGACATAGTTCTAAACGACTTTAAATAATAACAGCGACAGCCCAACTTTGCGACCGCAAGAGAACTCATGCACTATATGGAGCTACGCGTTAATAAAACCTCAAGATTTGCTTATAAATCCTGTGAACTCCATGTTAGTTTTCACACCAAACAGTGAATTTAGTTAATCCGAGGAAGTGTTCAATAAAATTGTATTGCGATTGACTTCCTGCATGCCTTATGGTACGGCTTATAAGTAAATTGAGGTTGAACTACATGCTCACACTCATTCTCCTATCTATCCCCCTCAGATTTTTTCCATCATCTTATAAACTCCCCTTCTTATCATACTCTCTTAGCACTATGTTGTATTCTTCAACTTCGTCTATAAATATACATCTAAACGCTACAAACAAGTTACGACTTTGAAAACATCTGCGACTACAGCTCTAGAAAGAGGTCTTTCCTACTTAACTTTGATATTTGCGTTAAAAGCGGTACTATAGGGATATTATTCTGTATTACGCACTGGCAGCAAAAGATCAAAGCTACGATCCGCCTCTAAAGTTCAAATCTTTGTAAGCTGTTGGTTTGGTATGTCAGTCTTCTAGTATGATACCAACGTAACGATTGTTTTATTGGCACACTCAGTGTCGCTGCCACGCCGAGTGACTGGCCAGGGATTAGGATAGATGTCTCGTAGTGTTTAGTGGTCTTGAAAACCCTTATTTTGCCAAGAGAAAGGTACTAGAATAGTACTCTTACATCGTTTTTGTTCTTACTATCTTAACGAGACTACGAAGTAGGAAGATAGTGCTGGGTATTGATAGCAGGTATTGGCAATGTCATTTTGTCAGATAGCAGGGTTACTCGACGTTGGCAGCAACCAATCAGCGTAGAGAGGGTCAGTGCGCCCCTCAAGAGGGCCACAAGCGCGGACACACGATAGACAGAACACAATACACACAATCATCAACATCCATCACTTTTGTGCAATATCTCATTATATCTGACAATTAAGAGTCTCACTGCCTCAATAACGAGCGATAAAACCACGAAAATGGCAACAATCCAGACCCAACGGGACGCGACGGTCATCCTCACCGACTCAAGCAACTGGATCCCTTGGTACCGCCAACTTAAGCTGAAATGCCAGTCGCAAGGCATTTGGCCACTGTTGGACCCCGAAGGAGTGCGACTCCAGCGCATCCAACCGGAGGCTCCGCTACCCCCAGACATTTCGCAGTATGAACCGTCAAGTAGCCCCTCAGCTGCCTCATCGCATACCACCCGAAACGCTAGAGGCAACACGCGAGGATCAGCACAAGACACTACAGAAATGTCGACAACAACCTCACGAATCCCCACTATACCAACGCGAGTGTCAGAACTCTCAGAGAAAGGACAAGAAGCGTATAAGGAGGATCGCGACGACTACAAGCTGCGCCTTGAGTCATACAAAATACGGGAGAGGGACTATCAAGAAGAAAGCAACAAAATCTCAAAGATGGTCGAACACATCCTTACAACCGTAACACCCCATTTACAACTTAGCTGTTGCGCCGAGAACGGCACGCCGCGCGACTGGATAACCGCCCTCCAAGACACAGTTGGAGTGGATGAAGACGAGGAGAGAGCGCGAGCACGAGAGAGATACCAAGCCGCACTCAAGCCAATGCGTTCAACCACAAACTGGGAGACGTGGCTAAATGAATACGATCAGGCTGCAACTCGAGCTGAAACCCTTGAGGTGGCCGAGGTTATGCAAACACAAGCCGTAATAGACGACTTCCTAGGCTCCGTATCTAAAATGGCATCAACCTGGACCGCAGGGTTCCAAGGGCCAGGGTACGATAAGAAAGCCATGAATAGGAAAAGGATGATGAAACTCTTCCGTGAATATATGAGTCTTCAATATCCATCAAGAGGGAAGCCAAAGAGCGCCTTCGCGGTAGGAGACTTATACGCGGCGAGCGGTGAACCCGACTCGGACACACTGAGGGACGCCTCTAGTGTGGAATTAAGAGCGCCATCCAACCAAGGCCGGGGAAACCCTAGGCAATCAAACAAACGCAAGATGGATGGTCAAAGTACCAGAACCAAGCAGATCCCGGAGAGGAATTCAGCGAAAGCTGGAGACATATGTCCTGCCTGTGAACAGCGTCATGAGATATCTGACTGCTACTATGTGAACAAAGCCAAGGCACCTGAATGGTTCAAGCCAAATCGAGGCATCGCAAGATTAGTACAGTACAAACTTGAAAATGACACCAACTTACAGAGAACGATGCAGGAAATGTCCCCAGAGACTAAACGACCTCGATTCTCGACAACGTCACGATCGATTACACCTCATATCAAGACATCACAAACACCGGACGCAGTCATTGAATGACTAGATGGACGCGAAATCTCAAGAATTGATGAGGGCACGATGAAAGCGGCATTCAGCGCAAGCCAACAAGGATATCCATTAAAGGATGCCTTCATCCTGGATTCCGGCTCGACTACGCACATCTGCAACGACCTCTCAAGAATTGAAGACGTACGCCCGTCGACGCCAGGGGACTACATCTGGGCCGGCAGTTCCAAAGTCTGGATACGAGGATACGGAGCTGTCACATTGACAACAGAGGGATCTCAGGACAAACAAGCCTTGCACATTGTCAACGTTGCGTGGTGTCCAGACTTCCTCTGCAGCCTAGTATCATTCAGGCTACTCCGACGACAAGGAATATGGTGGGACAATCGGGAAGATCCAACAAGCCTGCGACGATGGGATGGAACAATTATTGCTATCCTATCGGAACGCCATGGGCAATGGATTATCGAAGACACCACTCCATTCGACTCAGCCTTCCATGTGCGTATGAATCGAACCAAGCGATCACCACAAAGGGCGACAGCCATGCTATGGCATAAACGACTAGGACATCCAGGGCCATCCGCTATTGAACACCTCATACAGCAATCTGAGGGGGTGAGGATCAAAGGAATCACCACAGTACAATGTGACGCCTGCGGCAGATCAAAGTCGAAGCGCCAAATAAGAAGGGCGCTAAGACTAAATGACGAAGGTCCTGGAGAAAGAATTGCAATCGACTTCCATGAGTACGAGGCGGACAGCTTCACTAAGGAAAAGAGTCAGATGCTAATAACTTGCCGAAACTCCCGATACGTTTGGGATTTCTACTTCAAAGACAATAGGCCAGCACGCTCTATTATTCGCCTATTAGCCCTCTTTATCCAATTTATGAAGAAACAGTTCAACATTACGGTCAAGGTCATTGAAACAGACAACGAGATCGTCACAGTTAAGCAAGAAGTCGAGAAATGGTGCACGTCCCTATCAATCAGACTCGAGCCTTCCGCTCCAGACACACAAGCGCAGAACGGAGGAGCCGAACGCTCAGGGGGTGTGATAAAAGAAAAGGCACGCGCAATTCGACTAGATGCGAATCTTCCATGGGAACTCTGGCCAGAGATAACCAGAGCGGCGGTATACCTATACAATCGAACGCCAAATTATCCAAACAAGTGGAAATCGCCTTACGAAATATTCTTCACGCGCGCAGCTGCCACAAATGGCATAGTCACCGGACCCCGAAGACCAAACCAAGCTCATCTAAGAGCATATGGGTGCAAAGCCTTTGCAATGACAGACGATACCCACCGAGGAAAGTCAAGGCTGCAACGGCTGGACCCAAAAGCCTGGATTGGGTATCTTGTGGGATATCAGTCAACAAACATCTACCGCATCTGGATCCCATCCATGGCAAAGGTAATCAGCACTCGCGACGTAGTGTTTAACGAAGACACAATCTTCAACGGCAAGACTGAGGACCTAATGGACAATCTTATGCACAACACCCTAGAGGAAATCGCAACTTGGGTAAGAACAGTCGAACTCCCAGGTACTCAGAGCCAACAACCAGAAACCGAGACGTTCTACGAGGACGATACGACGCAGGAAGAGAGCCCGCGCACTCAGAAAACCAGATACCACCAAGGAAGGAAGGTGGTAGAGGCATATCTAACCCCGCCACCAACTCCTCCACCTGTGGCCTTGCTAGTTCAAGGAGAGGTGAACAACGAGGATATGACGAACATGTCCAACCAATCAACATCAATGACCAATCCATGGGCAGCCGCATTCATGGCCGGCACCGAATCAGGACACATTGGTCAACACGAAGGAAAGCCAATCGACAAGGCTCAGGTGAAGAGACTGCTATCCAAGGGAATCAAGCCCCATCGCAACCAGCTACCGCCACTCCCAACAGCATACTCAAAGCTGGAAGACCATCCACTATACGAAATGTTCAAGGAAGCAGAAAAGACACACCTTCAGAGTCACCAACAAATGAAGTCATGGACTGAGGTCCAAGCATCACCAGTCAAACGAGCAGGGCACCAGATCCTAGACTGTATGTGGGTATACACCTACAAACTCGACAAGCATCACCGCCTCATCAAATGTAAGGCAAGATTGGTGGTAAGAGGAGACCAACAACGCAACATCACCTCCCAAGACACATACGCAGCAACATTGGCAGGACGCTCATTCAGAATGCTCATGGCAATCGCCGCCAAATACGATCTTGAGCTAAAGCAATACGACGTCACTAATGCTTTTGTGCATGCTGCAATCGACAGAGAAATATACATGAGGATGCCAAAAGGGTATCAGAAGCCTGGCACTCTACTCAAAGTGCGAAAGGCACTGTATGGGCTCCGGATCTCACCATTACTGTGGCAGAAAGAATTCACTGCAACTCTTGCTTCGATAGGGTTTCAACAAATACCACAGGAGCCATGCTGCATGATCAAAGACGGAGTTATCATCTTCTTCTATGTGGACGACATCATCGTTGCGTACCATTCAAAGCAAGAATCAGAGGCCATGAAGGCCATCAACCGGATCCAAGAAAAATACGCTTGTACGGGAGGAGATAACTTACAGTGGTTTCTCGGCGTAGAGGTCATGCGCAATCGCAAGCAGAAGACCATACAGCTATCTCAAGCCGCATACGCAGACAAAATCAGCCAACTAGCAAGCCGACAAGACATCAGACATGACACGCCGATGTCAGGCATGGAACTCAGACCCAGGAGTGACCTAGCAGAGCCGTCCGAGATCAACCGCTACCAGCGCAAGATTGGCTCGCTTCTATTCGCTGCAGTCACAACAAGACCCGACATAGCCTTTGCAACATCACGACTTGCTCGCTTCCTAGTCAATCCAAGTACAGAACACCAGGACGCTGCAGACCGTGTGCTCCTGTACCTCAAGAAAACAGAATCCCTAGCCCTCGAACTCGGTAGAGGCGATGGCCTTGAGGTAGCAAGTGACGCATCGTTTGCAGACAACACACTAGACAGGAAAAGCTCGCAGGGATACGCAATTAAGCTGTTCGGAGGACTCATCGCTTGGAGAGCAAGTAAGCAAGATACTGTGACAACATCAACAACAGAAGCAGAGCTGCTTGCCCTATCACAAGTTGCTAAGGAGGCAATCTTTACGTCGCGGTTGTTGAAGGAGCTTCAGGTAAACCTAAGCAATCCAATTATCACAATCAAGTGCGACAATACCCAGACAATCCGTCTAGTAAATGAAGACGTTGCCAAATTGCAAACAAAGCTTCGGCACGTTGACATACACAATCATTGGCTACGACAAGAAGTTACCCGAAAGACGATCAAGGTAGAGTATGTTCCGTCTGACAACATGATCGCAGACGGATTCACCAAGTCACTGCCAGCCAATAAATGGGCCAGTTTCCTTGATCAGTTGGGACTTGTTAAACGCAAAGAATCCCCGTTGAAAGAAGCTGAGCTTGAGAAGTTGCAGGAGCATCTGGAAGGCCTCTATATGTAGGATCGATTAACCAGTTTACGCAGCTTGCAATCAGGGCTTCCAAGCTGAGGGGGTGTGTCAGATAGCAGGGTTACTCGACGTTGGCAGCAACCAATCAGCGTAGAGAGGGTCAGTGCGCCCCTCAAGAGGGCCACAAGCGCGGACACACGATAGACAGAACACAATACACACAATCATCAACATCCATCACTTTTGTGCAATATCTCATTATATCTGACACTGTTGGAAGGTCTATAGCACTAGTGCTGAAAGGAAATAACGATAACTAGGAATGCATTCTGTTCGGTGATTGTGATTCATTTTATTACGAACACAGCTGCTACGAAGGTATACCTAAGCTCTGCGCAAGGTGGGCCGAAGTCGGGCCGAAGTGTCCAGCAGCCGACGTCTCTACCGATACTCACGATCCGACACTGGAAGTCTTTTCTTTCTGGGTAGCTAGTAACTCTGCTTGTATCGGTAGTGACAGTATGTGTTGATGGTAACTGTGTGTAGCATCAACCATCAAAGCTTGTCGGCCTCTGCACCCATCCCTCTACTCGGACTGTCAGCTTATTGCCGTCAATAAAGCGTTCAAGAGCGCGGTTTGGCGATGCCTTGGTGAAGGCGTCTGCAGGATTGTCTTCACCATTGATCCAGCGGATCTCCGTGATCTCGCGACGCTCATATGATTGGCGCAGCGCCATGATGTCGATCATGAGACGCTTTTCCTTCGTCGTCCCAAGCTTTACTAGGCACTCGTACAAGGAGTACGAGTCTGTACAGATAACCAAGGGAATTGCAGGTAGTCTAAGTCGTTCTGTAACTATCCTCAGCGTGGTTGCAACTGCAATGCCTATGTCAAAGCCGTTGACCATGCCGTAGATCTCTGAGGCCAGTACGCTCCGTGTGATGCGCTTGCATTTTGTAGAGCTGTAGTGGATCACGTTGCCCTGTATTGTGAAGGTGTTGACGTCAATAGACTCGTTGACGAGCATAAGGACAAAGCCTAGCTGTGAGCTGAGGTCCTTGTTGTTGGCAAAGGAGCCATCCACAAAGACCATCAACTTGGCCTCCATAAGATTGACAGTGACGTAGCGCAGGCCACGATCAAGATTCTCCATCTGCCATTTCAGGCGTTTGTTGAGTGCCTTGATGTCCTCGTCTGATGGTTGCTGAGCTTGAGCAGCGACGGACAGGTCAAATGACGCCTCTGGTTGGCATGTTGATGCGATGTACGCTCCGCGGGCGCGCTGCTCGGTGTACTGTTGCGCGCGGTCGGGTGCCCTGATATCCACAAGCCTGATCCTTCCTCCTTGTCCTTTCTGCCTAAGGGTCAAGACTCTGCTGGCGTCCATCGTGAGTGTACATCCATTGAAGTCTAACTGCACTTCTGGTGTCAGCCTTGCTTTTGGCTTTGACCTGAACTCTGCCTTCTGGATCTTCTTCTCTTCACGTGACGAGAACGCTGGTGTCCCGAGCATGAGAGTGTCGTCTGTCTGCATGCCAACGATGCCGAAGATGCCTGCGTCGTCGCTGTTCGTGATCAATAGGCATGGGTCGTACGTCGATGTTGCCATGTCCAGTTCCTTGCAATGGTGTCCGTGATACGTTGTCCACCAGTGGACTCCTGCCTCAGCGATTCCATACAGCGGCTTGATCACATGGAGTAGCGTGCCTTCTGGATATCGATGGACTAGCTCAGTAGGAAGATGTGCGAGTATCGTCCTCTTCAGGGTTGTCTGCGCCTGGGGATACGCCTGCGTAATGTCACGGAGCTCGATGTTCATTCCGCGTTGTACCATCTCGGGCGCCAGCGACATAATCAGGCGCTGGCTACATCGCTGTATGGTTGGAGATTGCGTCAGAATAGTCTCCTTGCCGTGGTCCTGGTAGCCTTGGATAACTAGGCGGGATTTCTCATAGGGCTTGGTTGTCTTTCCCTTGACCTCACGTACTAGGCGTGACTTGAAGATCCGGATCTTGCTGTGTAGCCTCTCGTCGTATTGCTCAAATTTAAAGACTCCACGACCTACGAGGTCGCTGATCTCTTGGTCATCAGACGCTTCAAAGGGGGCGCCTGAGGTTGTGATCACTCCATCGTTACGTAGTTTGATAGCTAGCTCAAGATCGTCCTGCTCCTTCTTGGTGATGTACGCGTGCGCCTTCCGCTTGTTCTTTGACCCTGGAGGGCGGCCTCTCCTGCGTGGTTGCACTGCCGGTGGTACTGCTACCGGCTCATGCGGCTCATTCGGCGCGTGTGGCGCATCGGGGTCGCTCCAAAGGTGGTCCGGTCTGTAGTATGGCTTGACGACAGTGGATCTGAATGTCGTTGGACCATTGACCATGTCAACAGTGACGTTGTGGCCATCTGTACTGGCGATCTTGTACGGGCCATTCCAGCCATCACTCTCTCTCCATACTAAGACTTCGCTCTGGAGTGGGAGCGCGAGCATGTCTGCAGTGGCTGGTCCATTGCGGGTGTTCAAGGCGTCTGCAACTTGGCGCTCTGCCGTGATCTTGCGTAGGGCTTTCGTCGCCTTTTGAATAGCCTCGCTGCGCTTAACCATTGACGGGGATGGCGGTGACTCTGCAGTCATTCGTGGGTACGCTCCAAAGACTAGTAGCGTCGGGACTAGTCCATCGGGGCCAGCAGTATCGTTGACAGCCTTCACAGCCATCTGGAGAATCGCGTCGTCGGACATAGTGTCAGTGAGTTCTGCATAGAGTATGTCCCATGCGCGGCGTAGAGGTGCATGGTACCTCTCAGTTTTGCCGATAGACCAGTGCGCCTCCGTAGGTACTTGCTTGCATGTGACTCCCATGATCTTTGCTTCTGCGCGGAACTCTGTGCTTGCAAAGTTAGTGCCTGCGTCATGCGTGATAATGTCTGGTGGTCCTTGATACGTGTCGATCCATAGTATCCGCAGTGCTTGCCATGTTTCTTTAGCTGAGATAGCGCTAAGGAACCTCGCGCCTTGAAACGCTGTTGAGGAATCGACCACATGCAGTACAGGTTTGTTGCTCAGGTACATCACATCCACCAGGATCTCATAGTTGAAGTGGTGATCATCCTTGAGAGTGAATTTGAATCGGCGCGGTGCGGAGCTGTGGAGCTGGCAGTGGTGGCAGAACTTAGTGACTTCTTCTAGGGTTCTTTCTTCGAAGTCGTTATAGCCAGCATCCTTTAAGAGCTTAACAAGTCGCGTGACAGCTGGGTGTCCAAATCGTCGATGGAGCCGTCGCAACTCTGTCTCTGTCAGGAACACAGTTGCTCTCTCTCTTTTGTTCAGATGGAACCAAGGATGTCCCCATTTGCGAATCACCGGGATGTGTACGTCACCCTGGACTAGCTCATCTGTGGTGTTGTTAAAGTAGACCTTTAACCTGTCCATGTCTGCAAGGCACAATAAGAATGGTGTAGGTGCGTCAAGCACCTCAAAGTTGATCGTCCCAATGTCTGTAGAGACCTGTGCAGTGCCAATAGATGATGTAGCCTCGCCCTTGCCGAATTTGATAGATGCCTTTCCTGCTGTAGACGTATCCATCCTAACTGTAGGATCTTCCCTTGTGAGTGCAAGGTACTGCTCCTTGCCAACTGTGGATACGTTGGCAGCGCCTGTATCCGGTAGGATCCCTTGGTACACAGATCTTGTGTAGCGGTCTTCAAGCAGGAACTGTGACGCTGGCGCTGATGGCGCGTCTTGGCGGTATACGTCGTCGCCAGAGATGTGGTGCTAGAACGCCTGATCTGCAAGGCATTGCTCCGTGAAAAACTGGTGTTCAAGGTATGCTTCCGCGACGTCGTCATCGTCGTCATCCTCGCAGTCTTCCTCCTCTCTCCAGCCTCTCTGATTGTACTGGCTAGTGTGCTCGATCCCTTCGTATTCTGCAAGATGTACGGAGAAGTCCTTGGGGGGCTGTGTACCTGTAAAGTATAGCGTAGAGAAGAACTGTGTACGGGCAGCCTTGCGCTCTTCGTCTGTGTGGTTGGTAGACCAGCATCCTTCCTTCTGGCAAACAAAGCATTTCTTCCTCCAGCGTGGCTTGAATCCTCGTCCGTTGTCGTCGCGCTGCTCGCCTCCTCGATATGCTCCTCTGGATCCGCCTCTGAATCCTCCTCCACCTCGAGATCCACCTCGGATTCTTCCATTGCCGTTGTATCGGCGATCTAAGTAATATTGGTCCTCTGTGACCATCTGGGCAGTGTGTTGCCGTGCAAGGTGTGTCTCAACTGCAGAACGTAGGTCTGAGAAGAGTCCTTCACAGATTGTGGCTGGTTTGAACAGTGCCATCTCAAGCTCTGGTACTCCTCGGCAGGCATTGATGACAGTGGTACGTAGGGCATCCTCGCCCTCAAAGTTCTTGCCAAGGGCACGCTGGCATAGCTGCAGCTTGTCAAGCAGGATCTGCAGAACCTCGTGTAGTCCCTTGTCGGGGTTCTCTGTGCGGGTGCGAGCGAAGGTTGTAGTCGTCCAGTCTGTGTAGTAGTGCTGGTGATGGACGTCATGGTCGAAGTGGTTTTTGATTGCCATGTACGCATCAGCAAAGCTGTCATCTCTCTCTACAACCTGTATGTAGAATGTCTCTGCACGTCCGGTAAGGATACGGGGAAACACTGCGTGAAACTGCTCTTCTTGGATATCTACCTGCCAGCAGATGCTGAAGAAGATCTTGATCTTATCGTCTAGGAGATCGTACGCATTCCCTGTATACTTGTTGCTATTGTCCCATAGCTTAGAGAACTGCGTGATCGTATTAGCGTCGAGTCGATCGTTGCGGGACCATCGCGGCGGTAGCGTCTTGTACGGGTCGTATGGTAGTTCGGGTGGTCTGTTAGGGACGCGGTTCGTTGGCTGTTGCGGAAATGGCGTGACTTCGCGATATGCAGTCGCTGGCGGCCGTGTCTGTAGTTGCGCACGCCCTTGTTGCGGCTGCGCGGCCTGCTCCCACAGTTGTCGATGCTGAGGCCCTTCTAGCGTACCGCTCATGTGTAGCGGCTGTTGTGGCTCTATTGTTTGGGAACGGCTCTGGACGCCTTGTCTCACTCTATACTGCTCTTGTTGCTCGCCCTGCGACGGTCGTTGTAATTGCGACGGCTGTGGTACTTGCGGTGGCTGTTGTAATTGCGGCGGTTGTTGTAATTGCGGCAGTTGTTGTACTTGCGGTGGTTGTTGTACAGCTGGATAGACTGTGTGCTGAGTGTCCTGTTGGCGTTTATTGCTCTGCTGGCGCTGGTACGCTTCGGACTGTTGGTCGAATTTCATGGCTCGAAACTCTGCTGGTTCCCATTCAAGAGTATTCTCTATACCTAGAATGTTGTAGAGAGAGTCCGCCACCCTGGCGTGATTGTTGCCAGTGTATACTCCCCGGTGTCGTAGCACACTCTTAAGAGACCTTAGTGTACCACGCTCAACCTTGCTAAATAGCTCCTTCGTCCATCCTTCAAAGTCCCATTTGTAGTCAATGAAGAGGTCATCGTCCCAGGCCATTGACACATTGTAGTCGTGGATAGCTTTAGCGACCCACGTTGTTGCGTGTGTCTCATTTGCGTCCGCCGGTGCGGGTACACCCCAGAGAGCTGTATTGATGACCTTGAGTGCAACTGTGTATGGACAGTTTTCCATAAGTTGTTCCGCGGTAAATTTGGCCCATGGTGAGTCTGAGAGGTGTTCTGATTGCTCATTCTGTAGTTGATTCTGAGCTTCAGCAGAGTCTGCAGAGCTTATTTCGCTTTGGTTATCCGCCATCTTGCTAGCGGGTGTTGACGCGTTGTCGGTGTTGTTGTCTCGCTGGTTGGTCGTGCCAGCGCTTGTTGTTGTACGTGATCGGATCGTCCGGAGACGCTCGTACGGTTGAGTTGTATTGCGTTGCTGACGCGCTCTGTGTTCGCGGATTAAGCTAAACCAGCAGCTGTAGAGGGAGGTTAAGAGTGCTTTGTGTTATCTCTGCCTCGCTCTGTTCTTAGCACAGAATCTTCTCCCGGGAGTATAACGTCGTGCGTCAGGGAGTTCGTCGAAGATGCGGTCTGTCTCTTCTACCTTGCTGTCTGTGATCGCCTTAAGCAATCACTGATCAGTGTTGGAAGGTCTATAGCACTAGTGCTGAAAGGAAATAACGATAACTAGGAATGCATTCTGTTCGGTGATGGTGATTGATTGTCTACGAACATAGCTGCTACGAAGGTATACCTAAGCTCTGCGCAAGGTGGGCCGAAGTCGGGCCGAAGTGTCCAGCAGCCGACGTCTCTACCGATACTCACGATCCGACAGACACATTTAATATAACGAATACGTCAGATTTTACTTCCTAGAAACCACTTGTATAACAAGAACAAGATGTAAGAAAACGAGAATAGATAGGTAGTTATAGAGGATGGGAACGTTTTAACAGAGAGGGAATAGCCTACTTAGACTAGGCTACTTATTCTGTGTTCTTCAAATATTATCCGCATTTTTTTCTAAAATTACCTCTAATTTTAAGCGCGTTTTGCTTACTTATTTTAACTTGCCATCCTCTGCGGATGCGTCTATTGTTTCGCAGTCATAGTCGATTTTTGGTTCAGAGTAAAACATGTAGTAGTATTGTCTTTCATATACAAAAACCGCAAGTATACTTATTGTAACGGGACACGGTTTACAGGCCTTGCCGACCTTAGATAGGATGCTGATCCTTTCAATGAGTCTCCATATTGTAAACATAGAAAGGTAAGCTACCAGAAATTTGGCAAACTATCGAGCAGAAGGTTGCATTATCGTTCCGTACATGCAATTCTTGTGGCTTTTAGGAAGTTACTTATACATTCATCTACCCTAAATATCCATCGTAGTTTTACTTGAGGACAATCAGCTGCAAAAGAAAACGCCGCGCATGTATATAGAACTAACGTGTCCGTGCACGCAATGCCCGGATCGGAGTAATGCACACCCCACCTTCACACCCAACCCACCTTCAACACCACATAACTCCACCAATATGGATCCAATCCAGGATGCAATTAATGCAATCGAATTGCGTGCTCCCAGGGAGCATTTTGCGTATTCAGAAGCCGCAAAAAGGTTCAGTGTTGAGCGATCAACGCTGGCTAGAAGACATCAGGGCAAATGCCAGCCCCGCTCAATTGCACATCAAATCCTTCACCCACAACAAGAGAAGGAGCTTGTAGAGTATATTCAGGGGCTTACGGCACGTCGTACACCACCTATGCGAGAGATGATTAAGAATTTCGCAAGTACTATGGCTGGAAAAGGGGTTAGTGATACCTGGGTATCCTCGTTTCTTAACAGAAACTCCCCCCATCTGATCTCACGTTGGCAATCCAGCATGGATCGCCAGTGCCACCAGGCTGATTTAGGGGCTAAATATAGCCTATATTTCGATCTTTTGCACCAGAAGATAGAGGAATATAAGATTAAGCCATGGGATATCTACAATATAGATGAGAAGAGCTTTCTAGCTGGAGTTACTGGTAGATCAAAAAGGATGTTCAGCAGACGAATGTGGGAGAAAAAGGAGGTTACTACAGCTCTTCAAGATGGCTCGCGTAAATGGGTAACCCTCCTAGCTTGTATTTGCGCTGATAGATTAGCACTGCCCCTAGGCCTTATCTACTAGAGTACCTTAGGGGGGCTTCAATCAAGCTGGGTACAGGATATCAGTGAAGGAGAACACTCAGCCTTCATTAACTCATCTCTATTAGGCTGGACAAACAACGAGATAGGGGTCGCCTGGCTTAAACAGGTGTTGGATCGATTCACCAAATCTAAGAGCTACTCCTCCTACCGATTGCTACTCCTAGATGGCCATGGATCTTATGTAACTTAGGAGTTTCTTGAATTCTGCGATTAAAATAAGATTCTTGTGGCTATTTTCCCCCCCCATTCAACCTATACCCTTCAGCCATTAGATGTTGTAATGTTCAAACCTCTTTTAACTGCGTACTCAAAGGAGCTATCTAACTACCTTCATAACAGCTAGGGGCTTCTATTAGTTAAGAAAGGAGACTTCTTCCCCCCTTTCTAGAGAGCCTAGGTGTCCTCCTTTAAGAAAAACACTGCCCAAAAGTCCTTTAAGGCTATAGGGATCTGGCCGCCCGATCTAACCCCTATACTTAAAAGATTTAACCGCAACACCCCTGAAGTATCAAGCTTAGATGAGAGCTCAGCTTCTGTACTTATTGGATTAGACTGGCGTAAAACTAAGGCTCTAGTTGATCAAACAGCAGCTGATAGAATAAGTAAGGAGGTAAAGAAACTACACAGATTACTCCATCACATCTCAACCCAAAACGAGCTACTCCGCCATGAGATAAAGGGACTAAAGGAGGCCCTAAGTACCAAGAAGAAGCAGAAGAAGAAGAGCTACCCCTTAGATCTTCAAACTAATCAGGATGGGTATCATGGAGGAGCTGTTTTCTGGTCGCCAAGGAAACTTCGCCAAGCCCGGGAACGTAGGGTAGTAGAAGAACGTGAGAAAGACGATTTACAACTCCAAAAAGCTCGTAGATTAGAGTTGAAAGAGCAGTCTAGGTTATACAAACTTCAAGTAGCTCAGGAGAAGCGTGTGAAGCGGGAGAGACTCAAGGAGGTGCGCGAGAAGGAGAAGGCTGAAAAGATGGCTGAACGGGCACGTGAAAAAGCAGCTCGCGACTCACAAAAAGCTATCCAACAAGCCCAAAACAGTAATTGCAAGGCCTCACAAAGCTCTACTCAAAAGCAGAAGCGTCAGAAACGCGTTGTTGCTGCTACAGGTGCTAAGGAGTCCTCAGGGGCTGCACCAGCTGCCCCACACCGAACACCAACTTTTAAGGAATTTGGGACCCTTATAAAATTATACGATTTTTACATCATTTTAACGGCACGGCGGCCTGTAACTACCTCAGCTAAATAACCGCTTTCTGCTCTCGCGGAGGTGGTTAGAATGGCTAATGTAGAAACTCCAGAGAGGGCGCCACGGATCCCCAAACCCCCCCATACACGATCAGAGGAGCCTGAGAGCCCTATTAATACTGACCTGCGCGGGAAACAAGAGGAGGCAGCGAGCACATACTCGTGCTGAACCTTCTATCGGTAGCACTGCGCCCACCTCCTACAATCAAGCTGTCTCTGAAGCGGGCCCGCCAGCGATTTCAGGCAGCCCCAAAAAGCTACAAAACCTCCACCACTCCATCATAACGGATCTAGCGACAGTTGTCGACAGATGCCTTGGGAAGTACACCGACCCAGACGGAGCCCCGTGTGGTTAAGGGACCTTCAACAGAAGGTGCTAAGGGCTATTAAACACCTCCCTAATCCCGCCCCTAATCACGCCCCCAAACTCAGGGAGCGACTTCTGACACTACGCACCGCTTCCTGGGCGGACGTAGCTAGGACCCTGAAAAATCCAACCCCCCCAGCAAGGGGGGCCGCTACGACGAAAGCGCCACGCTTGCCCCAAAGCAGCTAGCTCAAACTTCTAGGCGACCTCTTAAACACTGACACCGTATCCTTATAGCGGTTGGAGCGAGGCTCGGCTCCAACGGGCATCAC